TGAAATGTTCGAGGCATTGTTCCAGAAAAATGTCCATTATTATAAATAATCCTTATTTTGACAAAAATGTTTTATCTTGTAAGAGATATAAAAACAATCAAAGGTACATTCGGACTAAATCCTCTAGACCCCGAACAGCTTCCAACAGGTTGACAAGTCTTCTGTTTTCATCTGTCACTGGTTGTATGCCTTGTTGGCCCACTCCAGCTTCCCTTGCCAGGCCGTGTAGATGGCGAGCTGCCTTCTGTACTTGATCCAGGAAGTCTCGGATGACTGCGTCTCTGGCCTTCACCCTTTGTTTTGCTTGCTCCCAACGGCAACGCCACTGTAAACATCCGTCGAATGACACTATCTGAAGCTTGCTTGCTTGCTTCTTGAACCCATCTACAATAGCTTCTAACTCAGCTATTGTTTTGCCATCTCTCTCATGTTGTTTCTCCAGATCAGCCATCCAGATTCTCAAGCATTAGTTTTGATGTTGATTGCCTGCTAAGTGCCTCTGGGCAGTCTTCATTTGTTCCTTCCAAGCTCTCTCATTCCAGTATTTAGAAGCCACTTTCAACTTGGAGTTATTCTTGACTTTATCTTGATACCCCTTTCTCAAGTCTTCGAGCTCTAAACGGACTCTTTTTTGTTCTCTTTCTAGTTTGTCTGCTCAATCTTTCTGAGAGTCGGCATCTAGATTCCACTGATAGTGCTCAGCCTTAAGTTCCTTTATCCTCTTCCCCAGCTCATTGTTCATAGCTTCAAACTCTGTTTTGGCTATCTCAAGTCCAGAAGGGACGGGCCTGAGATGTTCCTCAATGGTCTGGGTGTCCTCACAGTCTGGCACCGGAATATTGTCATTTTTCCTCAATCTTCGCCACTCCACATAGTCCGGAGCAAGCATGTTTCTGGAAGCTACCACATCCATCCAGAATACTTTCTTCCATGAATCGACTACTTCCTTGATCATCTTCTTATAGTTGTCACCGTGATACTCAAACTCTGATTTAGCTAGTCCGCATGTTGCTGGGACAAACTGACGTGCCCCATAATGTCTAAGTGCTAACAATGGAGCATACCCAACTGCATCCCAAAGTTCAGGTAAGGTCATAGTGTCAGAGTCCCTACATTGGAAAAGAACGTTACTGAGGAACAACCAGGGGGCTCTCCAAGTAATATCTCGGTCTTGATAGATGAGTGAAGACTTTCATCCACTTCTCTTTTGAAGTTCCTTCATGCCATTTCATGGTGATGAACTCTCTCAAAGGTGATGAACTCTCTCAAAGGTGAATACGTAGTGCTAAATCGGCGGTAGACAACCCAATTAGTCTTCCAGAAGTGGCTGTGAATCCAGACTTGAAAGAGCTGAACACATCCAATGAATCTACCTCCGCTAGCTCTTCGGCAATGGTTGAGAGATCGAAAGGTCTCGACTAAGATGATTGGTGCTGGGTTGACTCGTTTCGGTAGTTGCTCAAACAGTTCCACCACGTCAATACATCCCAAAATCTTCGGAAAGATGATCAAGCCATACAGACCTAGTGCAAAAAAAGGTCTATAGTCTTCCATTCATCAGGGTGGTCATTCATTAGTTTCCTTATGTGGGTCCACTGAATTCCTTGCTCGTTACCTTTGTTTCGGAGTCGGTCAGTCACCCACTTTTCATCAACTCCTGCAATCTTAGCCAGTCTGTTCTTGAAAGGCTAACTCTTGATGTGTTTGATGTAGGCTCGCTCCAGTTTAATGTTTTCACAGTGCAATAGTGTAGTATACTCCTCGATGGTAGGTACCATGTCCTCTTGGTTAAAAGTGAAGCAACTGTATCCCGGGTTCCAGAATTGAACCAAGGCTCTGATTAAAGGCTCACCGGTCTTAACATGAAGCAAAAGTGCAATGTCACCATACTGTTGACTGAACTTCTGTTTTCGATCATTCTTCCAACTGTCCCAGATGTCTCGAAGTTCTTGCACATTGTTCTGTTTTAGGCTGATAGAGGCATAGCTAACAAGCCTGTCCCAGAGTCTCGAAGTTCTTGCACATTGTTCGGTTTAGGCTGATAGAGGCATAGCTAACAAGCTCTGACACATAACTTCCTTGAAGACTGTCTCCCTTTTGTTTCTGAGTCTTCTCGGACCGTAGTCGTACCTCGGGGTTTTTAATCTCCTGTATTACAACACCTTTGTCCATTAATGCAGATTATTTATAGTTAACTAACACGTTTTTTGGTGGATCAACACCTCTTTTAAATGATGCAGATGATGGAAATAAATAAAGAGAGGAAAAAAAAAAAGAGTTAGTAAGGTAAAGATAATAATCAAAGCAATCATGAAAATAAAAGTACCCCACATGCTTATTTCCTACCCGGACATGATCGCTATCCCGCAAGTTGATTTTGAACAAGTCCTAACCGCATAAATTTCTAGTTCACATGTTTTGAACAGAAAGTAAAGAAGAAAATAATTTCAGCATCCTAGGGTTTAAAGCGAGGTTTTGGGGTGGGCCCTAACTCCTTGTAGTCTCCGAGTTTATGTTCTAAAAAAAGGTACTCGAGTTCTCCTTGCCGGTGCCCCCTTGGGCTTACCAGACCCTTAGTCCTAAACCCATCACAGGCTTGTGTGGACTAAGTTAAACTTGAGAGGAAACATTCCCTTATTCCCATACGGAGAATAAATTCACACGAAGGCATAAGGTATATGAATCCCGAAGGTTACTTGCTAGGCCCATACGATGAATAAATTCACACGAAGGCGTCGCTTTCACCCCCATTTAAAACGGGTTCGGAGCTCAGGTATAGAGCCTTTGGATGAAAAATCTTTAAGGGCTGAAATCATTAAAAAAATGGTCAGTACAACTATTTACTAGAAAATATAATCAAAAGTAAGTAATAAGGATCGAAATGTTACCTTAAAATTTAAACTTACCCTTTTCATTAAAAAGACAACTGGAAATTACCTTAGCCTGACTCACTTATATGTGTCCCCAGCGGAGTCGCCAAGCTGTCGCAACCGTATTTTGGTTGGGCCCCGGGATTGGGCTTCGACTTGAAAAATGTGGATTGGGAGTCGCCACCGATCATTTACTTTACGAAAAGTGGGTTGATCGAATACCTTATTTCTTACCAGATCTGCGTCTTACCAGTGATATGTCGGATCCGGGAGTCGGTTACGGTCAATGAAGGATTAGCACCCTTGAACCGCCCTTTCGGTACTATGTAATTTCCAGTTGTCTTTAATTAAGAAAGTTGAAAGTTTGAATTGAAAGGTAAAATAACGATCCAAAACTTACATTGATTGATTGAAAATGTACCCTTAAGAAAGTAAAAAAGCCTGTTAATAAAATGGTAGAAATTAATTAATTAAATTAAAAAAGAAAAGAAAAAAATTAAGTAAAATGATAAAATGAAGAAAGCAAAGATAAATAGTAAGTAAAAAAAAACAAATATAAAATATATATAAAAAAGAAAAGAAAATAAATAAAACAAATAAAAAATGATAATAACAAAGTACGAATAATATATATATAAAATAAATAAAAAAGTAAATATATAAATTACTAAATTAAATGACGAAAAGAACATATCACATATAATGGTAAAAAAATAAATAAAGATAATTACAATATATATATAGTAACAATAATAATAAATAAATGAAAAATAAATATACATATAATATTAACTAAAAAAATAGTAATCATAGAAATATAAAATAAAATAAAGTAAGAATATATATATATAACGTTAGGAAAATATAGTAAAAAAATATAATAAATAAGTAAACATAGATAAAAAATAATAATATAATATATATATATATATAATAAAAAAAATAATATAATATAACGCAAAGAAAAATGAAAAAAAATTATAATAAATAAATAAATAAAATATAATTAAATATATATATATACATATAAATAATAAGGGTTAAATTAAAATGAAAAATGAATTAGGGGTCAAAATTAAAAGTCAATCGAAGAAAAAAAACGACAAAACACGCGGATTCACACGACCCATTTATAAAAATCCGAATAGTTTTTCAAAAACACAAGCCTCGGGGACTAGATCTACAAAAATAGATCTCGAAAATGCCCCCGTTCATCGGCTAAAAACACTTCTCTCAGTTTTCTTTCGAATCAAAACACAGCAAAGGTAAGGAAAAATAACATGTGAATGTATGAACTTTACCTTTCAAAATATAAATGCTTCGAAAAATGGTACGAGTTGCTTGTAATTTTTTACTTGGTATTTCGTATATCCTCTTCCGAATGTGTTACAATAGTGAATTACAATGACTATTTATAATGTTTGTGGATCCTATCTTTAGGAGTTTAAATAATAGTAGAACTCTATCCTATTTTTAGGAGTTTGAATCCTAACAAAATTTTATCATATTTTTAGGAGTTTAAATCCTAATAGGACGAAAATGTGTGTCGATAGAAATCAACACTTAGGAAGTCCCAAACTTCAATTGATCCTGAAATAGAAGGAAGCCGCAAGAGCTTCTGAAGACGAAAAAAATATTAATAAGTCCTCTAAAAACATAAAAATATGCAAATCTAGTGTATAAAGCATATGCTATGTCTATTTCTCATATATAAATTAAATGACAATTTGTGCAGATGGAAGTACTAGCAATCAAACAGCCCAACAAATATATTTTATGAAGAAACCTCAGTATAGAAATAAAATATCAATTTAAATAACTTAGAACAGATATCCCCTCATGCATGAAGAAAATTGGTTGAGTGAGTTCAAGCATTTAACCTTTAAATATTCATCTAACAATTTACACCGTCCTCGTATTACAGGGATGTCTAAACCCGTTGAGAGAAAATGCTTTGGTGGCAAATCAAGTTTATACCCGGGAAATGATTTAAGACGCTGATGCAGCTCTTCAAAATGGCGTGAAAACTATTAAAAAGACTAGAAACTCTAACAGAGGTGAAGATAAATGTAACTAGCTTGACATTTTAGAAAAATCCAACCGAGATGCCTCTGCAATGAAGAATGAATGCTATAGGATGCAAAAAGGGACGAAGACCAGAAAGTATATAGCACACTGTACACACATTCTCTTGATAGACCAACTGCTATTGTTATTTATTACATCTGTTACAGATATGGAGTAAACAGCAAATGTTCTAGAACCACTCTTCACAATATCTGCACCTAAAACCTGCAAAAGGAAAATATTGCAATAATATAATAAGAAATTATAGCAAACTGAGAAGCGCATATTTGTCATTATGAAGTACCTCACATCTCAATTTAAAAAAAGAACCTCCAACCAATGAATTTTGCAAGGAATTAGCTTCCAAACTACGACTTTCAGCAATAGAGAGAGAAGCAGCAGATGAAGAAGCAGTTACTCCACTGTGAAGTCTACCAAAGGATTCAGTCTCAGAATCATCACTGGAATATTCAGCTTTTCCATGTCCATTCAGTGAATTTAGTATGTCTTGTCCATCCCCTGATAAGAAGCTTATCCTCTCAACCTCTTGCCAGTCAGGCAACTTCTGACGGGTCGATCTAGATCTTTTCCTGCTGGATGGAGTTTTAGTTAATATTCGATATTGGACATGCCTTCCACCAGCCTTCTTTACAATATGGCCCTCGGGATTTTCAAGTGGACGATGAATATGAGAAACAGTCAGGTTTCTGTTACTCTTAGCATCCCAAACTTTAGTTCCAGTAGAATCGAGACCCATTACATTTCCTGTTTCTTCCTCTCCAGAAGTAAATGAATCACTGCTTTCTGATTCAACCTCCTCCAAATCAACAAGATCGTGATCATCCTCCTGAGAAGATACAACTGAAGAGCAGTATGATACATTCCGAACTTCATGTGGGAATGATTTTTCTATTTTGCTTTGATCAATTAATGAAGGTTGAGCAACATGACTCTCAGATGAGTTAAGCTTGGCTGGATACTTCTCTCTGGTCTTAGATATTGCTTTAGCATGATCCACAGCAGCAGGGTTCCCAGCAGAGTAATGATGTGGAAATTGCTCGATTAATCGTTTTTCTCCGTCTTTTTTGTAGTTTCTCCCCTTTGTCCACATGTTCTCAAAATTTTCTGGAGCAAGGGCCTCAGTCTTTCTACGTGAAATGAGATGTAACATGTCACCCCATTCTCAAAATTTTGTGATGAGCTGGAGTTGGGAAGCTGCTGGATAGGGGACCTGTTGTTGCTGGGACGTGGACGGTGCTTGGGAGGCCTCGGATAAAGCTGCCGGAAGCTTCCGAAACGTGGAGGGACAGCTGGTGAGTTGATGGAAGCTATTGGATCGTGGACGTGGAGGGACAGCTGTTCCGGGCTTGCTGTTGTAGAGGCTGCTGTGGTGGAATTGAAACGTGCAGGGACAGCTAGTGTTCTCTAGAATTTGCTGGAACCATCAACTGGAGCTGAGACGTGGAGAGACATTAAAGTAAAAATGGTGATTACATACATGATTATTGATTGTCGGAGGAGGTGACGTGAGGTGAGGTGAGATGAGGGTGGATGGATCTTCGTTGATGATAAATGATGGTTTTTGACATAAATTTAAAAGTTGAAAGGAGAGTTTTTAAGTTTTGGGGTTAATTTGATTTTTCATTTTTTTAAGTATGATTTTAATTTTAAATATATTTTAAAATTATTATAATATGACAGGTGCCTTTTAATGTTAGATTTTAACAGTAATTAAGACTTTGAACATTTAAAATGACAATGTTTATAATGACAGTCATTTAAATTATTCGAAAAATAGTTTGTGTACTTATTTAGAAAAAACAATATAATTTGAACATTTATTTTATAATCAAAGTTATAAAATAATTAACATAAATTATTTATAATTCTAAAATTAATTAATATTAAATTAATATAATCATATAAAATAAAATATGTTTATAATATTTATTTAAAATTTTATAAAATATATTTTTATAATAATAAAATTAATTTAATAAATAAATAAATTATAATGTGCATTTATTTTATTGAAAATGTAATTTTAAAAAGTATAATTGATTTTTTTTAAATATATTCAATAAAATAAATAAATCCCGAATTCAACATAAAAACGGGGGTAGTTTTGGAATGTTAATATTGTTATCAAACAGTCTTGCCGTTTGCTGAAGAAACTATCAATTTGGTATTCTTACAAAACAAAATAAATTAAATTAACAGCCACAAAACTCTTTTTCTTTTTCTATTTTTTCTTTTATAATCTCTTTGTACTCTGACCAAAGATCTACAAAAATATATAAAATCTCATAATTTCCCTGCAATTACTTAAAAAAAATCTGATATCTGATTCAATGGCTTCTCGTCGGCGTATGCTTTTAAAGGTTATAATTCTCGGCGACAGCGGGTAAGCTTTATAATCGTCTTAATTTTTTTGAAGTTTACTTTGTTTCTGCATATTTGAATTCGAAGATTTTGTTAATTCTGCTACATTTCCAATTTAATTACAATTATTTTTCTGTTCTTTAATTGTAATGTCTGATTTTCTTTTTGATTTTTTGTCTTCTCTTATTTTTAGGGTTGGGAAGACATCTCTCATGAATCAGTAAGCTTTGAAACTGAAATCCTTAGATTTTCTTTTTCCTTTATCTAACTCTTGAATTTTGCACGTTCGATTGCTGGTTCTTATGTATTGGTTAATTGTTAATTTTATTGGAATTAGGTATGTTAACCGTAAGTTCAGTAATCAGTACAAAGCGACGATTGGAGCCGATTTTTTGACAAAAGAGTTTCAGTTCGAAGATAGACTGTTTACATTGCAGGTAAAAAACAGTCAACTTGAAGATATATCTTAGTTGCTATGGATTGTGGTTTCTGTTGTGCCTAATGATGATAATGCAAAGCGGATTTTAGCATTTGTTTAAGTTAATATATTGTTTGATTTTAGCTATTGTCAACTGTATAAACTAAGCCTGTCTTTTCTGTACTCTCCAAAGATATTCAATTTGGCTGAGAAATAGAGATATAAACTTTATTTACATTTCATAGCGTCATGCTCGTTTTTCTGATTTTGTGCATAGATATGGGATACTGCGGGTCAGGAAAGATTTCAAAGTTTAGGTGTGGCTTTCTATCGGGGTGCTGATTGCTGTGTACTTGTGCATGATGTTAATGTCATGAAGTCCTTCGATAATCTTAACAACTGGCGAGAAGAGTTTCTGATTCAGGTAATATTCTCTCCAATGGTGTATAGAATATTTTAATTGGAAAAATGACTAATGTTGTTATTTTTTTGATCGAGTGCTCAGGCGAGTCCATCTGACCCTGAAAACTTTCCGTTTGTTGTGCTGGGAAACAAGGTTGATGTTGATGGTGGCAACAGTCGAGTGGTAAAATGTCTCCCACCCTCGACTTTCCTTTTTGCCTACAGATTTCTTCATGTTTTACTATATCATGTGCGAATGTGAATGTGTTTTCGTATGGTGTATGAATGAGGTTATTTCTCTCTGGTTTAGGTTTCTGAAAAGAAAGCGAAGGCATGGTGTGCATCAAAGGGAAACATACCATATTTTGAGACCTCTGCAAAAGAAGGATTCAATGTTGAAGCTGCATTTGAGTGCATAGCCAAAAATGCTCTCAAGAATGAACCTGAAGAAGAAATGTAAGTATTTGCATATGTCAGAGCTTCCTTAACAGAAAGATAATGCCTAACAAAATGTTTATGCAACAAAATGTATGTCTTCAAAGAAATAAAATAAAAAATTGAAGTAGCAAGCAACAAAGAGGGTAAATTGACACTAGGAGAATCTGACCTTTCTATGATAGACAAGCTTCTTCAATTGCAATTCAATGATATTTGGATTAAGACATTTCCTAGGAAATTGTTTTGAGGGTTCATTTTGAGTGATCACCTATCTACACACCATTATCGGCCATAACTTAAGTGTCTCTTTAGTGCACTGGAGGTGAGCAGTGAATAAACTAATCGAGCCTTATATAGATGAAAAGCTAATCAGCAGGAAATGGGAGTTTTTCTAAAAGACATTTCCTCATAAAAGTTGTTTCATCCCTTATGTTTGTCTGTCTGTCTAACGAATTATTCTGAGTCAGGTTAAATATAATTTCCATATATATGTGCGTGCATATGATTCCATTTGAAAGCCTTATGAATAATACAAAAAGGGTTGCATTACCAGAGTCCTTGCTAATTGTTTTTATTTCAATACTTGTTTTTTTTTTCATGATGAAAGCTACCTTCCTGAAACCATTGATGTTGCTGGCGGAGGACGGCCACAGAGATCTACAGGCTGCGAATGTTAAATGAGTCATCATCAGATGGGGCTTCATATATCAAAACGCGAAAACAGCTGCAGTAGATTTCTCATTCCTATATGTTAAATTTGCAGGTTCTGACGATTAGTATTAAACTAGGGATGAGAGTTGTCATATAAAGATTGGATTTTGTGTATCATAAGTTGGTTAGTGATCCTCCTCTTGTCTATTTCTTTCAATTTACCAAAAGAAATAATTGTTGGTTAGTCGATAGTCATGTTAAAAAAGTAATTGTACCATGCCTCCAACGTCCTATGTTTATGCCACCTATAATTCTGTAGTAAATGTGGAACTTCTGTTGAATTCCTTCTCTTGTTTCTCATTATGTGTCGTGTGGACTTTTGGTAGATAACCTAATGGGCAAATTGCATGCACTTTTATGGCTAAAAATAGTCGAATTTGTTTCAACCTTTCAATCCATTTGTGAGCACTTCTATGTTATGATAAATTATTTTAAATAATAATAATTAATTTCTTTTCATTTATATTAATACTTGTTGACCAAACGAGGTATCTACTATCTAGTGCATAAATATGTCCAACTGATTTTTTTTTGGTTCACAAGTTAAAAATTTATAATCATTTGAATCGAACCGAACACTATCAGAGAAAATGATTTACCTCCACGGAGTTACAAGATAAGTCCTCCACGCCTCGGAAAATGATTTACCTCCACGGGGTTACACGACAAGTTCCTCCATGCCTCGAAGACGCCCGTCTCATTGATTGCGCTCTTCCGCCGGACTCCATACATGAGGCATTTCTCAAAGCCGCCTCTACCTTCGAGTCACCCTCAGATACCTTCTACGTGTGATTTATTTTTTAAAGCTAATTTGGTTTTCTATTACGAATGTCACTATAATGTTACTCGTTATGAACTTATGATATGGTATTGCGATCGTGATTTAATATTATGAGTGTTATCTATAGTCGCGATGACATTTAATTCCACAACATGATCTCGTCTTAAAATTCGTGTACATGAAACAAGAATAGAATAAAATGATTAATAACATAAAAAATTTATTCTATTAAATATTAAAAAAGAATATAAAATAGAAATAAATACATGATTGGGAAAGAAACAAGTTAAAGCCTGCAACTATATAGTTTCTTTAAGATAGATTTTTAGTCACTCTATGGTGTTCAAGATATTTGATCGTCTGTCTCCCATAATACAACAACGAGATTATTATTAAACAGTAACACAACTGTCGAGATCACGAACTATTTATTTCTTCATCTATCATAAAAAAAACTAGAGAAAAAGAAAAACTAGTAGGTTCCCGAGGTATTTATAAGAGTTTCACATTGTGAACGATTGAGAAATTTTGACTTAAAGCATTAATGAAAATCAAGTAATCAAGCAATTTCTAAAATTAATGTTACCCATATCGTGCACGTCTGCACATGTACGAACTAACAATTGATTCTACATTTTTCTCAACAATGTTTGAATCAATTTCTCATTCAAATCTCTAAAATTATCGATTTTTTATGGGCTAAAATCAAACAAGTCTATGCAAACGATGTCTTTATTCTTGCTCTGTTCTCTTGGAAATCTCCCCTACGTTGAATATCCCTAAGCAAAACCAACCACGAAGAACCTCTTATGTCGTCTATACTCTGTTCTCTTGGAAATCTCCCCTACGTTGAACATCCCTAAGCAAAACCAACCACGAAGAACCTCTTATGTCGTCTATACATTTATTTATTTTTCATTCAAAAGAAGCTCAAAAGACTAAGCAAAACAACAAACATTTACACCCTTCACAGAAGATACAAAGAAAAGGGAACCCGGGGGGGGGGGGCGAAACAGAACACATTCTCGACGAACGATCGTGGAGATTTAATAGCAGAGTGGCAAAGAGACGACAAAGGCTTTCACTCGTACGAACATTCGTCTTTCTTGAACTTAATGAGCTTGGTTTTCACGGAATCAATGACCAGAGGGCAAGAAATTTGTTTCCGGTGCCTCGTTTTCACGAGTTTCCCGACGACATTCCCTCTCGACCGGACTTCAAACTTGAGCATCAACGGAACTTCGGCAGCACCATTTTGTGTGAACGTTAAGCTGGATCCAGCTCCATAAAGTGGCACCTTTTCCCCTTCCAACACAATTGATACAGTCCTACGGCTCTTCCTTGGCTGATAATATTTCAACTGCAATTGATTCGATAAAGACCTTAACTTCATTGCATTACAAGGTTACATTCAAACATGCTCGTGGTTTCTATGAAATTCAGTAATGCGAAATTCTACTTTACAAAATTTTAATTGGCAGAAGCAGATTGATGAATCATACCTGACCGGCAGCGACATTGATCTCCGAGTACGCGAGATAGACAGGGTCGGAACTAACATGAATGCCGAAAATCGTAGCTGGGTTGTATACAGTCATCTTCAAGGTGCCATTGATGGTCAGCATTCTTGTTGGTACCCCTGAGAAATCTGAGCCTTCCCCAACAAAAACGTTGTGCACTGCAAAGCTCTGCAACACATTAGGATTTTAACAATCATGGTCAATCCTATCAGTTAAAATAAAGATCAAAATTATTCGGTTTCAAATCTAAGTTCGATTTTTCTAAAAGAATACATATATTTAGAAGATCATATATTCATATTCTTTTTTTGAGAAATCATATATTCATATTCATATTCATTATCGAATAAAATGGACATACCCTGACGACGATTTCAGCTTTGTAAGGCCTACTGGCACCCCAAATAATCAAACAGAACACCGTGAACAAAACCACAAACGTGAAAAGAGCAATCAAGGCCTGGAAACGCCTAGTGAAGGCTTTATCCTCAAACTCATCATACGACCCTTCTTCCATTATCACCCCACACTCAGGCCACCCTTTATCATTCCTCTTCCGGCTACCTTTCCTCCCGGACGACGACCGGAATATCCCCGAGAATCTGCTCGCCGACGAGTTCCTCGAATGGCGTCCGACGGAGGAAGGGTGTGAAGGTGACTCCATGGGACTCGGTTGCGTCGTCGACGACTTGTCGCCGTCGTGAGAGTCTCGGGATGGACTCTGGACATAGTATACCGGACGTTTTGGAGACCTCGAAGGCGACGATGGAGCTAGGCTTGTGATATCGGATTCGGACTTTGTCGACAACATTTTTTGTTTCTTTTTTTGTTGTTGAATTCTTTCTCAGAATTTGAGTTTTTCACTTGTAAAAATGGAATCTGAGATAGAGATGAAGATAAGGAAGGAGGAGGAGGTTATTGAATGATGAAAGAAGCAACAATTCAGTTCACTAAAACTCTCTGTTTCTGTCTGTTTCTCCCTTTGTCTGCGTCTTTTATGGTTGCAAACAAACAGTAAAGTAACCCAAGAGAAAGACAACCTTTTCTGTTCTTTTTCAATATTACACATTTATTTAAATATAACGTAAAGTACACCATTAGTCACTTCATTATTAGATTTTTCTATTTTGGTTTTAGAACTTCTTTTTTCTGTGAATTTGATAATCACTTTAGGTTTTTTATTTTGATCATTGATTAGTAAAAAATAGTGACATCCTCTTGTATAATAATAATTATAGTCTCTAAAAAATCATATACTCCATTAGTTTACTCTTAATTTAAAATAATTCATTAAATATTTAAACATAGTGAAAAAACATTGAAAAAACATAAGGAAAACACTTAAAGATGTGTGTTTCTCGTTCCTTTTATATCTTTAACTATACGATGTAAGTCCAAAATAACACCAATATAATGGCACGTATGATCCTCAATTTTATTTCCGAACATTTTTTTAGCTTATCCACTCTCTCGCCTTTGCTTGCTCCTCTTCTTCTTTCACTATTAACATCGTTGTCACCTCTTATTACTCGAATGCTCATCATCCTTCAATTCTTCTCAATCCCTTCAGCATTGCATATTTCAACAACAATCTCTATCTCTATTGTCCTCCTACTGTGACACCGATTTATTATTATACTAAGTCAAGTCAACACATCGTTAACGAATAAAATTAACAATAAATAACTAAAATAGAAAATTGTAACGTTTGTTACTAAATTTGTAAAGAGAAAAACAGCTTGGTGACTAAAATAGAAAACAATAACAGTTGAGTGACTATTTGTATAATTTAACCTTAATTTATTAAGTTTTCATAATTTTGTTATATTTAAATAATTTTTAATATGAGCTTGTTTAAAAGATTAAATAGTTGAAAATTGGGTGGTGTTTGTTTTAATATTTTAGTTTCCTTGCTCTTCCTTTGGTGTTCAATAAAACAAATGAAATAAAACGTTACAATATTTTGAAATAAAAGTAGGTTTGATGATTTTTATATTATGTATGTAATATAAATTGTTGAATATATTACAATATATTTTGTTGGGTTCATTATGTTATCTTTACATGTATAAAAAATTATTAGGTTATATATATAAAATTAGAGGAAGGTAAGGGATGATGATGTAATTCAAGAAGAGAGAGGTTCGGGAGCCTAGCTGGCACTTCGCTCTGAGTGGTAGGTTCGGGAATAAGTGTCGGCAGCAATTTGTTTTTTGTATTTTGAGGCTAGTACATTTTAATAAATAATTGACAAACTACCTAATTTGGATTAGATTCCTTCCATTAACTACTTTTATTTTGAACCAAACTATGTTAATTAATTAATTTTCTGGAATAACTGCTTTATTATTAGTTGGTTTTAAGACTCTTAGTATGTTGTAGGGATGGGCATGGGACCAAACCTAACTCAATCCATGTCCATTCCTAATTCTCGAGTAGAAGATTCTTTATTTTTGAATAAAGTTAAATGGACAAAAATTTAATCTAACTCGACTCATGTCCATCATAAGATGGTGTCTAATCTATATCTGATATCAATCTTATTTTATTTTATAATATAATATTTTTATGTTTTTACTTTTATTTATATCTAAAATAGATATTTCAGGTAAGAGGTTTATGATGCTAAGAGATTGTTTATTTATTTCAGAATAATTAAGCGTTGAATGATTCAAATGTTGAATGATTCAGAGGTTTTGTATGAATTAACTCTGAATGTGACATGTTGTTTGATAATGACTCTGAATCATTCAGAATGTACTTCTGTGCTGAATCATTCAACATTATTTTACTGAATCAGTCATCACTGAATCATTCAGAAATACGAAACAACATTCAATGTTAAATGATTCTAGAGCCAAATAAACATCCTTAAATTTTTGCGCTCACCCGATTTATGATCTTGTCAGTTGTCATATCATCCAATAATGCAATCCATGTCCCACTCGGTGGGTCTTCGCTTGCTGTCAAATTATTTCATTTATTTTTCTTACACGTCTCCCGCTTATTATCCAATAATTCATTTTTTTAAATCTCTCTCTTTAATTATGATTTTCAAATATACAAAATGATCGATTTTATTGAATACGATATTGTTTCAGTGAAAGATTGTAAATCTCAAATACTCGATGAAGATTTCAACAACGAATGTAAATCTCTGCACACATATAAAATGTATGTTTTGATGGTTCAAGGCACACTTATATAAATAAATATATTAGATAATTCGTGGATAATTCATGAAAGTATACAAGCCTGAATCAACATGCTAAATGTTAATGTTCGACAAAATATAATAATCCTCTCCGTTCCTGCCCCTTTTTACACAACAATCGAATGCCCAATGCATATTTGACTTTGATTTATAACTGTAAGTATATATGAAAGTTGTTGTAAATATAAGATAACTATTGAGAACATCTTTAAAATGTCTTACAAACTAACCGAAAACACATGAAATCAAGAATAAAATGATCAATAATATATTTTATGATCTTACAAATTATGTCAATTAATAAAAGATCACCCTAACTTGACTTACTGGCCATGAAAAAAGAAAATTTAACAAAATGATTTTTTATAAACAAGTAAACAGAGACATATGTATTCTTTGATCGTAGTACAAAATAAATATTTTATTAGTTTAAATTAATTACAAATAATCATATTTATTTTAAAAAATTCTTCATCGATTAATATGAAACATTCAAATATCTTATTATCTTTAAAGATAATAATTGTTCCTTTAGCTCATATCAATGTAAATTTTTAGATTTGGCCAAACAGTGAAAATTTTAGTGACTAAAATACAATTTTTAAAAATTATATGACCAAAATAGAAAGTCAAACCCAAATAATCATATGTATCTTATTCTCTCCGGCGTACGTTAGCAGGACTAATGGATTCTCTTGCTTGCTTCATCGGTGTTGATTTCTTCTCTTTCTTTCGTTATTTTGATTGTTTTCGTTCGGATTTGAGGTTCTATAGACTCTCCGATCTTGTGTTTGGACTAGAGGAAGTTGTTTGGAGGAGCTGAGAAGTAATCCCTAAATTTCTTTCCTCTTAAGGTTTCGAATGGGATTTCCATGGTTAAACCTCCTTCTGCAGTGATCGATGAGGGGATAGCATAATAGAACCATTCGTTGGTGGGCCAATTCATTGAAGTAGCCCCTAATTTTGGTTATATGCAAAAAAATTGCTGAAGCTCTCTAGGGGAAAACTTCGACTGTCAAGGTTAGTATGGCTGGTTCTAATCTCTTTGTTCTCTTTTTCGAATATGGAAATTAGAGACTGGATCCTTGAGAATGGTCCCTGGCATGTGCAAAACAAGTCGTTTGTGCTTCGGAAGTGGGAGCCAAGTTTGCAGAAGCTTGACTTTGATCTAAAACATATACCAGTCTGGGTACAGTTGTATAATGTGCCCCTTGAGCTCTACACTAGGACATGCTTAAGCTATATTGCTAGTGCTGTGGGGCATCCTCTTTATATGGATGTCATCACTGCTTCTAAGGAGAGGCTCGAGTATGCCGAGGTTTACGTTGAGATTGGGGCTGGTACTGTTATTCCTGAACTGGTTAATGTACTGCTGAGTGACAGCTCTATTGTGCGGATCAGGGTTTTTATGCCTTGGTTACCCAAATTTTATCAGTATTGTAAAACCTTTGGACTCTATACTAGCGTGTGTGCTGAGTCAATTCCTGCTCCTATGAAGAGTAAGGAAACTTAATTTTGGAGGAAGAAAACTGTCCCTGCCCCTGCTGAGTCTAATGGAACTGAGAGGTTGGATGATAAGAAGGATGCCGACTTCTCTATTGCAATTCAACCTGATGTTAGGGATGAAAGTATAAGCACAACTAAGCTGCAGGTGGGGGATGTTATGGAGTTAACTGTACAGGCCCTCCAAGAGATCAATGTTGATTCTTCTGTGACTAAAGTTAAACAGGCTAATTCGGATCTGGTTGATGAGGGGATGAAATAGCCTGCTAGTGTTAAAGTAGTTGAACAAAGTGGTAAGCAGAATGTTCTTCTTGCTAGGAGTGAATTTCCATCTTTGCAAGACTCTATGATGCCTAAGAAGAAGGTTAAGGGAAGGAAAAAAGAAAATGATGGATCTTCTAGTAAGTTGGAAATGTTAGTCGGTGGTGGAGGCTATGATCGAAAGCCTCGAGCTGCTGCTTTGGGAGTTGCAGTTCTTCTTAATGAGATTAAGGCAAAGAAAAATGATATGGTTGATAAGGTTAAAGGGAATGACTGTAATGTTGGGGTTGGTAATGGGGGCCCTCATCTCCACTCTTAAATGTTGATATGTTTTTGGAATGTGAGGGGTATTAACAATACCCTCAAGCAAGGTAAAGTTTTCAAAAGATTAGAGAGTCTTGGGGTGGATGTGGTTTGCCTCATGGAGACTAGAATTAGAAGTATTAACTTTTCCAAGTAGGTTGCCATCTTGTCTGATGAGTGGAATTATCTGGCCAATTATGATTTTGTTGATGGTGGTAGAATTTGGGTCCTATGGAAGAAGAGACTTTCAATTTCTGTTGTTGGAGGATCTGATCAAGCCCTTTCTATTTTAGGTGATGCTGCTGGTCATAGTGTTATGATTACTGCAGTTTATGGCAGTAACAACAATCTAGCTAGGAGGGGTCTATGGGAGTACTTAAGAAACTTGGAGAGTGTTGTAGGTAATTATCCTTGGGTTATTGGTGGGGACTTCAACGTTGTAGCTGAGGTCCATGAGAGTTATGATTATCCCTCAATGGGATCACATTTATTTGATATGGAAGAGTTTCAGGGTTGCATAGAAGACTTAGAGCTTCAAGACCACCCCTTTGTAGGGCCTCTCTTTACTTGGTCTAACAAGCAAGAAGATTCCTACTTGGTTAGAAAGCTGGATAGGATTCTTATCAATCCACATTGGATGCATGTGTTTCCAATTTCCTTTGCTGAGTAAAAGCTCCTGGAGTGTCTGATCACTAACTGGGGTTAATTTGGACTCAGAAAGAGGCCCAGATCCACA